AGCGAAATAAGTCAATCAGAGAAAGACATATATCATATAATCTCACTGATATGAGGAATTCTTAATCTCAGGAAACAAACTGAGGGTTGCTGGAGTGGTGGGGGTGTGAGGGATGGGGTGACTGGGTGATAGACATTGGGGAGGGTATATGCTATTGTGAGCGCTGTCAATTGTGTAAGACTGTTGAATCACAGAACTGTACCTCTGAAACAAATAATACATCATATGTTAAAAAAGTAGGAAGGGAAAAATGAAGCGGGGGAAATCGGATGGGGGAGACGAACCATGAGAGACTACGGACTCTGAGAAACAAACTGAAGGTTCTAGAGGGGAGGGGATGGGGGATGGGTTAACCTGGTGATGGGTATTAAAGAGGGCATGTATTGAATGGAGCACTGGGTGTTATACGCAAACGATGAATCATGGAACACTACATCAAAGGCTAATGATGTAATGTATGGTGATTAGCATAACATAATAAAATAAACCCCAAAAATAAAAATATAAAAAAAATCTGTTACTCCCTGCTATAATGTGGTGATTGAGATATTCTAAGCTTTTGGCTACTGCATTAAAATTATTCTAGTGTTTCTTCTCTCTTTTTGGTTGCCTTTATTCTTACTGCTCTATACCTTTACTGTCATTAGGTCACTTCCCATTGTGCCTGTAATCTCTCCTAATTTACACCACAGTTCTGATCTCTTCAGTTTTTTTTTTTTTCTTTTTTTTTTTAGTGTTCCTCTCATTCTCATGTTGCTTCTAGGCTTGGGTGCCTCCTGGATTTAACTTTTAGAGTCATTATAAGAAGTCATATTTATTTGGTGAATCATCTTTACTTTGCCTCTTTGACACTTTTCGTTCTTGTTGCTCTATGTACTTGGTGGTGGTATTTTCTTTTAAATCTGGGATGGGTAAACTCTTTTTGTAGAGGTCCAGATCATAAGCCTTGTAGGTGGTGTAGTCTCTATCACAACTCAGCTGTTACAGTATGTAAGTCACAGTAGATAACACGTAGTAAGCCACAATAGATAACATGTAAACAAATGGGCCTGGTGATGTTCCATTAAAACTTAACAAAAATAGGTGGCAGGTATGATTTTGGCCAGTGGGCCATAGTTTGCTGATCCTTGCTTTAGAGGAGTTAGTGCTGTTCTGAAATGACTGAGTATGCTAGATGTCTGAACTCAGCAGAACATTGAGTATTTTTTGTTGCTGTGATTATAACATTTAATGTTTTTGTTGCAGATATAATAAACATGTTTTATTGCAGAAAAGAACATGTATAATGTAGTTACTCCTTTTTTTTTAAAAAAGATCTATTTATTTTACATGAGAGAGAAAGACATCAATCCTGACCTTAGCTGAAACCAAGACCCTGATGCTCAACCAACTGAGCCACCCAGGAGCCCCTGTAGCCCTGTCAACAACTTTTTCCAAATAATTTAGATTTATTTCGCTTTATTTTTTTGGACTTGTTTTAGACTTCTGAGAAAGAAATCATAAGTAAGGAACAAGGTAATGAAAAGGCAGAGGGAGCCTCTAATATTGTTCTTTACAAAATTGACATCCCTGCCAATAGATATGATCTCCTGTGTTTGGAAGGATTGGTTCGAGGACTTCAAGTCTTCAAAGAAAGGTAAGAGAATATGTTTATTAAATACTTTGCTCAGTTAGATTCTTTTGCCTGTTATTATCAGCAATCCTCTTTAAGTCTTTAGAAAAGAACTTGTTGGGCAGGTACACAGCTTTAGCTTTGCTTAGAGGGAGGGTTGGAGAGTAAGATTCATGCGTATTTTGGTCATTTAAAAATTTGCATATTGAGTCCTAGCCTTCCATCTGGGGAACTATTTAAAACTGGAGTGGTTAAGGATTTTATGGCTTCTTATAAAATTTTTCAGTGCGTTCATGTGAACATCCTCAGTAATCCAATAGAAGTAGATGACTAGTTGGATTTGTTAAAGGTTGGGAGGAAAGTAGAGGTGGCAAAACTTTGTATGCTGTTTGCTTAAGAACTCTAAGGAAGCTCCACTCCTGAGCTTCCTAGCTGGAAAACTGAAAATCTTATGATGGCTCTCTGATCTTGGACAAGTTAATTGGCCTCTAGTTTCAATCTTCTAATTTTTTTGTTTTTGTTTTTGAGAGAGAGCATGCACCTGCTAGTGCTGGGTGGGGGTAGGGGAGGGCAGAGGGAGAGAGAGAATCTTAAGGAGACTCCATGACTCTGTGTGGAACCCAACACGGGGCTCAGTCTCACAACTCTGAGATCATGACCTGAGCCCAAATCAAGAGTCAGATGCTTAGCCGACTGAGGTACCCAGGCATCCCTCAGTCTCCTAATTTATAATGAATATTTTTAAGTCCCCTTCCAACTATTCATGAATATAGAAAGTAATGAATATATGAAGTGAAAAAGAGGTGAAACATAACACCTATCAAAAATAATTATTTTTGCTTTTGTTGACATATCGTCTGGTCAGTTGCAAAAGAATGAGAGCCTCTGGCCAATGGGCTAGACTCTGAACCTGTGAGGTTTCAGGTGACTGATGGGTATGGGTGAAAGGGTGATAATTAGGCATTTGGTTTAGGTGGTTAAAATTTGGAAGGTGACTCAGTTGGTTCTGTGACAATCAGACCCTCATATTTTGGGGCCAGGGATGATCCCTTAGAGTGCATGTTCCAAACCTGCTTCATTAGAGTTTTCTGCTCATTTTTTTATGATCAGACAGGATTAGGAAAGTGACTTAACCCTTTTGCTACTCAAAGTGTGGTCTGTGGATCAGCATCCTCTTTATCACCTGAGAGCTAGTTGGAAATGTAGAATCTCAGCCTCTACTCACGACCTATTGAATGAGTCTGTGGTTTAACAAATTCCCCACTTGACTGTGAGCACATTAGGGTTTTTGAGAAGCACTGAATTGAAACAGTAGTTCCCAATCTCTCCTGATAAGAATTACCTGGACGATGCCTTCAAAATGTACCGTTTCCTTGGCCTTTCATTTGAATATCCTGATTCAGTAGGTGCAGATGGGACCAGGCAATCTGTATTTTTAATAAACCCTATTTTTCTTAGAAGCTCAGAATCTAATGGTTGGAATAAAGCTTTAAAGGTTATCAAATCTAAAAAAAAAAGTTAACAAATCTAGCCCCTTAGCTGAATTAAATACCCCCTATATGGTTGCTTAGTGGTTTTCTAGCCTCTGCTGATCCTCAAGTGACCGGACACTTCTTACCATGAGGCATCCTATACCATTTTTGGACTACCTTCAATGTTAGAAAGTTTGCATTTTGTTTTAATATTCAGCCTAAATCTGATTTGCTATAACTTCAGCCTATTTATTGTCTTAGCTCTATTCATTTTTTGTACTTTTACACAGAATGGAGCTTATCAAATGTTTTGGTTAAAAATCAAGTTTAATTTCCTTTTAGGATAAAGGCTCCAATGTATAAGCGGGTAATGCCTAATGGAGAAATCCAGAAATTGATGATCACTGAAGAGGTAATAAGACTAAATTCTTATTTTCCTTTTTAGAAAGTTTCCTTTGTGTATATATTTGTAAGGTGGGTAGGGAACAGGTACAAAGCTGATCCTTCTGCCAAATATAATTTTCTTTGACCATTTGCCAAAAATGGACATATATTTAGCCTCTATCTCTTAAAAACTGTCAATTTGTTCCCTTTCATTTATTGGTGAAAGCAAAGCATTTGTTTTCCTGGATAATTTTGGAAAATAACACCAGGTGTTTATTTAAAAAACTTTGAGATAGAATTAAGTTGTGGTCTGTTAATAAAGTTTAAAGAAACTTTGGGGGAACATTATTTTGGTAAAAATATCAACTCTGAGCAAACTACTTACATGTTAATTTTTTCTGGTTAGTAAATTTTCAGAAATTTTACTGAAATGTACATTCCACGAGAAGGGTGACTTTGTCTCTTGTCACCACTATATCTGATTAAATGAAATATATATGCTTTTTTGCAAATTTGCAATAGTATCAAGAGTGCAGCTAACTTTCTTTCACAAGATGTTATGAGAAAAGCCCAGGTATGGACAATCTCTAATGATACATTGAACTTCAGACAGCTAAAATACGTCCTTATGCTGTGGCAGCAGTTCTCCGAAATATAAAGTTCACTAAAGATCGATATGACAGCTTCATCGAACTCCAGGAGAAATTACATCAGAACATTTGCAGGTTTGTGGTTGCATTTTTCCTCCTTGCCTTCCTCTGTCCCTTCCCCTCTTTTTTCCTTTTTACCCCTTTCTCTCTCCCTGTTTCCCTCCCTCCTTCCTTTCTTTCTCTGCAGATTTTTTCAAAGCATTTCTAAATTAATATGTGAGAGTAGCAAGAGTTTAATTTGCTTAACTAAATTTAAATAAGTTTACATTTTACCAGATAGCTATTTGTTTTTTTTTTTTTTTAAAGATTTTATTTATTTATTTGAGAGAGAGAGAATGGGATATAGAGAGCACGAGAGGGAAGAGGGTCAGAGGGAGAAGCAGACACCCCGCCGAGCAGGAAGCCTGGTGTGGACTCGATCCTGGGACTCCAGGATCATAACCTGAGCCAAAGGCAGTCGCCCAACCAACTGAGCCACCCAGGTGCCCAGATAGCTATTTGTTACTAACAGTGCATGCATGGAGAAATAAGAGCTCTATTTGGAATACTGCATAGAGAAGAAATAACTATTCCTAGAGATTTTCTTGGTTTTTATGTTTGTGCTTTTATTGTTTGGTTCAAATTATTAGTAGTGGATTATACTACTAAATGTTAAATGATGGTAGTTTGAAGTATGACCTGTCATTTTAAAATGGAAAAATTTTTGGCTCGTTGTCACTTTTTGAGTGTAATTATAAATTTGCAGATGGAACTTGAGACTTTTAAATAACTGAATTTTCTTACTCCTATTCACCATTACTATCCATCATTTCCCATGGGCTCCTTTGATGCAGTGATCTTCAAATATATAATTCCTGAACTCCTAAAGGTCAAGGAAGGTAACAGTGGGAGTCTTTGAACTAACCTCACTATTTAAGAAATCCTGAAGGAAATTATAGATTTACTCATAAACATAAAGGTTTAGCTAACATATCAAGTTTTTTTTGTGTTGGTCCTGAAATACATCAGCATATCTCATACTGATCAAGAAGTATGATTAACATTTATCGATATCTTGAGTAAAAATAGAAAAAGTTTTTATTGTAGTAATTGCAGTTTGGTATACTGGAGATTGAAGAGGCTTCTATGTAAGTGATGGGCTAGGGACAGGGTTGGAGGGGACCCTGGACGTTTTCTTCTGGGGTGGAATGTTTTAAAAATAAAACACCAGTAGGCCTCCATTTCCAGAAACATCTTTATGTGGTAAAAGAAACTTTCTCAGAATCTAAATAATATTTATTCCTGTTCTTTTATAAAAATAGTCTATTTGTTAGCTTGCTAATAAGCAAAACAATAAGAATTTAAATATCTCAAATGAACAAAATAGATTTCTGACAAGCTAGTAAGTGGTTGAGGCCGATTATCTGTTCTGGACTTGGTTAATTTGAAGAATCTATTTTTATCTAAATTGGAAGGCATTTCCTCACTTAATTCAGCTTTAAGGTCTGTTTATATGGTATTTGTGGAAATCATGAGCTTTTTGAAAGGGGAGAAATAAATCCCTTCCTAACACTGTGGTGTGCCAGAATCCTTACCTGTCAGTAAATCCTAATTAACCTCTTGCATGAGCTTTGGAAACTTGTGTCTTTCAAGGAATATATTCATTTTGTTTACATTAGCAAATGTATTGGTATAAGTTGTTCACGATGTTCTCTTATCCTTTTAATATCTAGTATCAGTAGTGATACCACTTTTTTCACTTTTTTTCCCTTGATCAAGGGAGGGTGGCTGGAGTTTTATCAATATATTGATCTTTTCAAAGAACCAGCTTTTGGTTTTATTGACTTTTTTCCCCTCCATTGATTAAGCACTGTTCTGAGCACTGTTCTGTGTAGGGCTAATTGCTAGTATTGAGGCAAGACTCTTCTGCCTACCTGATCCATTCCCACATGAAGTAGTGAGGTTTTCAGTCTGTGTGAACACTGTTCCTCTGTTGAGTCTTTTCCTGGCCACGGGTAATTTCCTCACATGCATGCACTGATCAGTACTCAGCCAAACACTTGAGGGGTACCCTCTGCAGATCTCCAGAATTCTCATAGCTCTCTCCACTTCAGTATTGTTTCCAGTGAACCCCAGCTGTCTTGGTCTCCCTAGACTCTCAGTTATTTCTCTCAACTCAGGGAGTCTGCCGATCTCCAACCTTGTCCCTCTTTCCTAACTTAAAATGTGGAAACCCTTCCAGGCAGTAAGCTGGAGCAGATGTGGGGCTCACTTCATTTATTTCCTGTCAGGGATTGCTACCTTTCATTGCCTGATGTCTAGTGCCACCCATGAAACTGTTTCCTGTATTTTGTCCCTTTGTGGTGGTTTCGGGCAAGAGTGTAAATCTAGTCTCTTACTCCATCTTGGCTAGAAGTGTCCAATTAATTTTTTACTTCAGTTATTTTACTTTGCATCTTAGAATCCATTTGGTTTCTTTTTACAAGTTTCTTTTTTTGCTGTTATTTCCTCATCTGTTCATTATGTGCATATTTTCCCCGTAAGTTTTGATTATTCTTTATGGTAGGAACTTTAAAATTTGTGTGATGATTTGAAAATATGGGTCATCTTAGCATTGGATTTTATGGACTGGTTTTGTCTGGAGTAGAAATCACATTTCCCTGTTCTCATGTCCACTGCTTTTTTTTTTTTTTTTTTTTAAAGCTTATTTAAGCAATTTTTACACCCAGTGTGGGGCTCGAACCTAGGGCTCTGAGACCAAAAGTTGCATACTCTCCTGATTGAGCCAGCTGGGTGCCCCTCATGCCCACTGCTTTTTGATTGCACGTAGAATGTTACGTTATGGATAAGGCTCTTGATTTTCTGAAGACTGGTTTTGTCTTATAGGCAAAGACTCTTGAATACTTAGACTCAAACTTGAAACACTAGGCTAGGCAAGATCTCTGCAGTTGGCAACAGCAGTGTTCTCGGTTCTTTCAGCTTTCTCCTGCTTTTTCACAGCAAGAGTTTAAAATTTTTGCCAGTACGACAGCTAAAATCTTGATTTCTAATTTTTAGTTTGTGTATCTTCATATGTCTGGGATATTAATCCTTTTCTGTATGTAAATTACAAGCCTTTTCTCAGTTTGTCTTGACTTTTGGGGTCTTTGGATGTATAAAGTTTCAGATTTGGATAGTCCCATTTATCAGTCTTCCTAGGACTCTTATTTTGTGTCAAGGGGTGTCCTCCAGTTTTACACATTGTTGTCCTATATTTTCTTTGAATAATTTTTGTGGTTTCTTCTGTGAGTATATGTACATTTGTGTCTTGTTTTTCAAAATGCATAGCTCTTTGATTCATCTGGAATTTATTTTTGTGATTGGTTTGAAGTTGAAATTTAGTGACCTTTTGTGGGAGAACTCTTTTAGGATTAAGGGACCATTACTATCTTAAAACAAAACATGGACCTTCTTACTTGTGGATTTGTCGATTGTTAATTTATCTACACTTAACTGTATATTTCAACCTCTGATATTTCTGGAGCTATCTTCTGTAAGCACATAAATCATTGAGTAATGTAACACTTCTTTTGTGCTTGTTAACAGTTCTTTTGAGTTAATCCTATTTCTTAAAGTTCTTGTTACCAGTCTTGAAGGATGACTAAGAATTATTTCTTACAAATTTTGAAAACTATTTCATAATTCATATAACATGGACTTCAGTAAAATCCTTGATTACTAATGCATTTAATCTGTTTGGTGTATATATGCACTTAAGCATAAATACTCAAATATATTTGTACATACATCTAAAACTAATTCTAAAAAATCTTAAGAATGCCATAAATTCTGACCAAGTTTCTTTTTGAATTGTCTTTTAGAAAGCTTAGAGCCAAATTTTTGACCCACTGTGCTTAGACTGTAGGCCTTTAGATTCTAATTTAGTATTAACATTTTCCTGGCTCTGTATTATATCCCTACTTTTTCTTTCTCTCCTAATCTTAATTTGCTGTAAGTTCCTAAAATTACCTTAAATTCTTTGCACATAAACTGTAGAACAAATGAAATTAATAACTTTTGAACTTCCCTTACACTTTAAATTTTAAGTGTAATTCACTGTTCTTAATTTTTTTCCATGATTAAAGTAATACAGCTTTGTGACAGGAAATTTAGGAAAATACACAAAAACCACAGCAATTTCGTAGTTTATTCTAATAAAACATCTGTTTACTTGAGGACCCTGAGAGGAAATGGGTTAAAAAAAACAGGGGGTAGTGTTCACTTGGGAAATGTCCTAGTTAACACAGTACTTGGGAAGGCATAGTGGCAAGGAATTTACTGTAGCTACTGAAATAATGTGTTTTGAGTAGCTTTAGAATTTCTCATTACTTTCAGTACTGTGAGAAGTTGTTCATTATACTCTTCTGAAGTTGCCTTATAGTAACAGGCTATTTTAGGGAATTGTCAGAAATCTTTTTTTTTTAAACATAAGGTTGGTTCTAGAATTTCTGCTTTGGAATATTCAAAACTTTTTTTTTTTTGGTCTCTTTTTTTCCTCTCTCCCTCAACATTTAGGAAAAGAGCCTTGGTTGCTATTGGTACTCATGATTTGGACACTTTGTCAGGCCCTTTTACATATACAGCAGAGCGACCTTCAGATATCAAATTCAAGCCTCTAAATAAGACCAAGGAGTATACAGCCTGTGAACTGATGAATATATACAAGGTAGATTTTTTTTTTATATTATGCAAATAATTCTCCATAAATCAAGAAAATTTCTTCAAAGTCAAGTCTTGGAATTAGGGAGATGTAAATGAGTACTTTTTAAAAACTGTCTATGCTTCAATCAAGAGCTACTGATGCATTTGATGTAGAGTGGGGCCTGGGCATAGTTTTATTCTTTAACCTTTTGGATGCTTTTAATGTACAGCTAGAATTGAGAACCACTGAAGTAGAACATACCACATTATAATATTCATATTTGGGTATAATTATAACTCATGCACATTATAAAGAATAAGATTTAGATAGGGTTTTTTTTTGGTGGGAAATAGTATTACAATTGTCGTATCTCCTACTATTTAGCATTTTAGATTCCAGCAGTTAAAATTATTCTATAGTCACTTAATGGTGCTTAAAAAAAAGTAGTATCATTCAGAAAAAATAAAGCTTTTATCCTTGGCCTGATTTGCCAGTGTTTTCTTCCTATTTATGTAAACAGTTTTGTGATGGTTTGTGTTTTGCTTGAGACGAGTTAGGCTTACCAGTGCAAATCTATTTTCACTCTTGGAAAACGACTTGGCTGTGTTCTCATCTCTCCCCAGTAGGAGATGAGGTATATAAGGTTATTAAGATACTTAGAAAATCTGACAAATCTAGGACTTTCTGTAATACGGGGCTGTTTTATTGTTTTTCTAACTTTTCCCCTTTTTTTATACTAGATAGGTATATAAACTAATTAGCATTAGAAATACAAAATTAATTTTAATTTTTTTTCAGACTGACAACCACCTTAAACATTATTTACATATCATTGAAAATAAACCCCTGTACCCAGTTATCTATGATAGCAATGGTGTCATCCTTTCAATGCCTCCGATTGTCAATGGTGAGTTATTTCTTAAGCATCAGATTTTTTTTTCTCTTATCCATCAACATTTCTGTAAGAATTGAACTCTAGACTTGGCTCAATCAAATAAAATAAATCTTAATCAGGAATCTCTGGTTTTTGTAGATTTTATTGTAATAGTTCTTTTTATTAACATTTTACTGGGGATTTTTATATAACTTTTAAATGTATAGATATTTATAAGTACATAGATATTTACTGGTGCCAGTCTCTGGATTCTGTTATTTTCCTCCGAAGAGCATTGATATTTTGGTTTTAGCCCGTGACTCAACTTGGTTAAGCTCAAATTCTGCCTTGCCTGCTATTTTATAGTTAAAGCTTTTAAACTGAATTTCATTTCTGAAGACTCTTTTGAAGAGGCAACTTGGATGTATTTACAAAATTTAATGATGTCATAGCCATACATGTTGACCCTTCTGGAGGTGAAGGGGGGGTTTAGTTGATTCATGATGGGAAGAGTCTCTTCCTCCTTGAGGTGTTGAACTCTAGCTGTTACAGTGGTTCAGAACCTGAGCTTCAGAGTAGCCAGATCCAGACCCAGATTGTAGCCTTGCTGCTTAATAGACTGTGATCAGGGTCAGTGAGCTGAAGCTCTGAATCTTCGATCTGCCTGCAGCTCTGTCATAGGGTTGTGGTGGAGAGGAGAAGAGACAACCTCTGTTTAGTGCTGGGCACTGCATCCCTGACACACTGAATGCAGTAAAGGCTTGTTAGTATTTTATCTCTATTCTCCTGCTTGTAGTGGGGGCTTAAAATAAATGTTGCATTATCACCTTACTTCTGAGATGTCTGTTTATATTGTACTCTAAGTGAAATGTAGTTTGTTTTAGAGAACTTTTTAATGCATCTATGTTTCTGAAACTGATTGTTTTATTATTTTGTGTTTGTTGTAGGAAATCATTCCAAAATAACCGTAAATACTAAAAATGTATTTATTGAATGCACAGGAACTGACTTCACTAAGGTAAATAAAACTCTGTTTCCATTTTTGTATGGTCAGACAGGACATTTTAGTTCTGGGCCAAGACTAGATGGCTGAACTTTAAAGTACTTATTTTGTAGGTGGGAACATACTTCAGAAACTTAGAAAATTAGAAAGATACAGATATTCTGTACTTTAGTTATGGTGTGTTCATTTAATCAACAAATCTTTAATGAGCACCTCCTGTCTTTCCAGTGCTGTCATTTAATGAGTTTCATGTTTCTTGACTTGAAGTAACTCATTCTAGTGGGAGAATTAGCCATATACCTGAATGGAATAAGTGTTGTATAAATTGTTTATCTTAGTTGGCTTAATTTAAATACTGAGTAATTTGGTACCTGTGTGTACTTGGTAATAAGTGTTTAAAAATGAAGTGGCTTATGAAGAGGTGTTATTTAGCAAATTGATAAAGGGTTTGTGCACACGATGATACCTAGAATATGTAGAATACTAGTTCACTCACTTTTAGTAACTGTATATTGGATTGGATTGCTATGAAACTTTTTTTTTATGGCATAAATTTCTTTATACATGTTAAGGCATATGGTAATGTGGCAGTTAAGCAAATTAATAAGATAAGCTTGAATGGCAGGAGAAGGCTGGCCTATAGAAATAGGGCCATAAATGGCATTCAGTACATCTTACAGGATTGGACACCATTGTAAGGTATTTCATTTATAACTTTTATGGGGCTATATTTGCCTTCAGAAATACTATAGTAATATAGCTTACAATATTTACAAATTTTTTAAAAATTCATGTTAACAGGCCTTAGATATCTTTGCTGAAGCTTATATTTAAACAGTGAAGTATTTATAAAAGCAAAGCCTATATATATCCCAATAAAGTTACTGTATTTTTTCCTAAGAATATTTTTTCAATTAAAAACTTGAACAAATCTGTATGGTCCTTACAGTGTGCTTGGCATTGCTCATATATTAATACATTTTATCCTCATAATAGCCAAATGAGATATAGAAATATTTATAATCTCTACTTAACAGATGAAGATGCTAAAGTACAAAGATGGTAAGTAACTTGCCCAAAGTCAGATTACTAGTAAGTGGTTGAGCCAGGAGTCCGGCAACTGGCTGCAGAGATCTAGGAGATTGATAAGGTTTACTCCCATAGTTAGCCATTTGTCTCTTAAAACTTGGTGAACCCAAGGGAGAGGGCCAGGGGAAGTAAATGATTTGTTTCAGTCATGGATTGTTAACTCTCAGAGAACCGAATAAATGCAGACCACCTGAAGATAAGGCTAGGCCTACTTTAGCTCACAAGTTTTTATTCCACACTCCCTTTTTTTAGAATGTATATATACAGTTTCATTTTTAGATGTTTGAAGACTAAATTAAGTTTTCACTTCCATCTGAGTGAAGAGAATATATTTTTAGACTATAGTATTTGTCTTTTTTCTTTTTTGCAGGCAAAAATAGTTCTTGATGTTATTGTCACCATGTTCAGTGAATATTGTAAGAATCAATTTATGTAAGTTTATTTGACAACTTTATTGAAGCCTGTTCTGAAGGCAAAGCACTAGGGCCTTGAAAAATGTGGCTCCTGTGACTAGAGCATATCCTCTCTTTGGGGGGGCTAAGACCTATGCATAACTGCTTAAAAGAAAAAGTGAGGGGCGCCTGGGTGGCTTAGTCGTTAAGCATCTGCCTTCGGCTCAGATCATGATCCCAGGGTCCGAGTCCCACATTGGGCTCCCTGCTCAGCGGGAAGCCTGCTTCTCCCTCTCCCACTCCCCCTGCTTGTGTTCCCTCTCTCGCTGTGTCTCTCTCTGTCAAATAAATAAATAAAATCTTTTAAAAAAATAAAAATTAAAAAATTAAAATAAAAAGTGAGAATTACTTTTAAAAAGTTCCAGTAATGTTCGGGCTGTAGGGGCAAGTTATTGCTAGCTGGATTAGTTATTGCACCTGCACAGACATTGTGGAGGCAATGAAATTTAAGCTGTGTTTAAAGATATTTGGATTTGAGGATGTAAACATGGAAGGACAGACAAGGACCAGCTAAACAAAAGTAGGGAAGCATATATCCCTTATGTATCAATAGGATTACTGTATTTTTTCCAAAGCTTTTTTTTTTTTTAAAGATTTTATTTATTTGAGAGAGAGAATGAGAGACAGAGAGTATGAGAGAGGGAGGAGGGTGAGAGGGAGAAGCAGACTCTCTGCCGAGCAGGGAGCCCAACGCGGGACTCGATCCCGGGACTCCAGGATCATGACCCGAGCCGAAGGCAGTCGCCCAACCAACTGAGCCACCCAGGCGCCCCCAAAGCTTATTTTTTAATTAAAAAGATTTAACTAAACGGTCCTTGCCATGTATCGGCATCATAGTTTATTCTAGAATGTTAATTATAATTCAAAATAGCCGTATCACCGCAGAACACAGGACTGAAATTGTATGGCAGCGTCTGTTTTTTAAATTGATTTGCCTAAATTTTTTAAATTGATTAGTGGTTGCATAGTCAAGCTTTCATGGTGTAACACAGCACCCTGGTAAAGCTTGGAATGTGTATATCCATGTTGGCAAGGAGTAATAGAGGATGCATGCTTTGCAGCACTGAGAAGTAAACATCAGATGTGTGCTGCCTGAAGAGATGTGGGAGCCACAGGGGATGGAACAGTAGGGTGGTGTTGTGTTGAGGAGGATTAATCTAGACAGCAGTGTTGGAATGTGAAAAGATTGAATGTGTTGAGGTTACTGTCGTAGAACAAGTGAGAGACTTGTTAACCATACACATTTCTCGAATTTATGGCCCTTTTTGTTTTTAATATTTCTGGCTTTTTTTTTTTTTTAAGGGTTGAAGCAGCTGAAGTAGTTTTTCCTAATGGAAAATCCTATACCTTTCCAGTAAGTATTTAAGAAATGGATTTGATGATAATACTAGTAATAATAATGGTTATAGAGTGCTTGTTGTATGTCTCTCCATCATCCACCCACATGCCAGGCATTATACTATGTGCATTACATGGATTTAATCCTCACAGTAACCCCATGAGGGTGGATGCTGTTTGGCCCTTTCCCAGATGGAGAGACCTTGCGATGTTAAATAGCTTGCCTGTTACTATTAAGTGGTGGAGCTAGGTGATAGTCTGGCTTCAGCTCCCAACATGTTCCATTATACCACTGCATTAGATGGCCAGAATTCCTCTGATTTGTTCTTTTTATTTAAATTCAATTAACATATAGTGTATTATTAGTTTCAGAAATAGAGTTCAGTGATTCATCAGTCTTATATAACACCCAGTGCTCATTCTATCACATGTCCTCCTTAATGTCCATCACCTAGTTACCCCATCCCTCCATACACCTCCCCTCCAGCAACCCTCAGTTTCCTGTGATTAAGAGTCCCTTATGGTTTGTCTCCCTCTCTGATTTTGTCTTGTTTTATTTTTCCCCTCCCTTCCCCTATGATCCTGTTTTGTTTCTTCAGTTCCACATGAGTGAGATCATATGATAATTCTCTTTCTCTGGTTGACTTATTTTGCTTAGCATAATACCCTCTAATTCCATCCACTTTGTTACAAATGGCAAGATTTCATTTTTTTGATGGCTGAGTAGTGTTCCATATATACTATATATGTATACTATATATGCTATATATAGATGGAGTGTATATTACTATATATATATACACACACACACATACATACACACGCCACATCATAATCCATTCATCTGTCGATGGACATCTGGACTCTTTCCATAGTTTGGCTATTGTGGACATTGCTGCTATAAACATTGGGGTGCAGGTTCTTATTTATTCTCATTAACTAGTTTACTGGGTGACTTATAGTCTCACCCATTTTAAGATTACTCAGCCCTCCAAACCTAATTAGTCTGTTCACACTTGAATTAACAGTCACTGAAGAGCCATCACTATAACTAATAATTCCAGATGTATTAATAGGACTAAGTAGTAAGCACAAGTATTGTCAAGACATAAAATCTTGGTAAAAAAAAACAACAGCATTATTCTTAATCGGGTTTCTTTCTTCCCCTAAGATCATTTTATTAATATAAAGATGGCTGTTCCAACACATGACTGTATTAGTCATTTAGTTGTGGTTATGATTCAGTGAGGCCATTTTTTTAAGCACTTCTTTAGATTTTTTACTATTCCTCTGTCACTTAAGTGAGTCATAGCCTGGAATAGTTTCTACTATTTAGTTTTTAAAGTAGATAAAACCTGCCAAGATGAAAACCTTCCCCTTCCTGAAAACATGAGCATTTAGCATCATACTTTAGAATATTGATTATAATTCAAAATAAATGTATTGCTGTAGAAAACATAATTGAAATTATGGGCAGTCTCAGTTTTAAAAAAATTTCTAGTGCCTGTTAGCTTTTGTTATGTAACAAACTGATATCACAAAACTTAGTGACTTAAAACAACAGTGATTTGTTTATCATGATTCTGTTGGTCAGCTGGGTAGTTCTGGTCTGGTCTGGCTTGGCTGACCTCTCCTGGGCTTGCTCCTCTGTAATCAGCCAGTTGGTAGACTAGCATCTAGATGACCTGGGATAGCCGCACTCACAAGTCTGCTCAGCCTTAGAGTCACCAGGTCAAGTGTCTGTCATCATCTAGCAGGCTAGCTTGGTCTTCGTTACATGGTGGTGGTTGCAGGATTCCCAATAGCACGAGAGCAAGTCCAGTGCTTAAGTATTTTTAAGCATGGTGTCCTGTTGGTCTCGGCCAGTCATTTTGCTAGATTCAAGGAAGGGTGAAATAGACTCCTATTTCCCAATGCGAGGGCCTGAAGTGCCCCATTGTGAGGCCATGGATGCAGCAGAGAAGGGAATAATGTAGCCATCTATATGATTTACCACAGTAGTAGTTGGGATTAGCCAGAGATTGCTTTTTAGTCTGTTTTAAAATGATGCCTGATTTGAGAAAATTTCTTTTTTCTTTTTAATATGAAGAATTGTCAAATATTAACAAAAGTGAAATATGTACTTTGGGGAGGAAAAAGATACCTTAAAATCTGGTTCACTTTTCTCATGTAGATAAATCCTTGAAATCACTTGCATTATAACGAACTTTCATAAATTTGAAATGGTGGGATTTCTGAAAAGGAGTACTCTATTAGTGTTGTCATTTGTTAATCTGTTTCCTGCTGAACATAGATTAGAACAGCTCTCCTCAGGTTGTCCTCCCAGAGGAGAATGATCCTCTGAGGAACTGATTCTTCCTCGCATGAAATAGCTTATTTTTCTAAGTACTTTGATAGTTCTTTCCTAGTCTTCTGTTATTTCATATAAAAGAATGGAATTTGGAATAAGAGGACCAGAGGAGAGAAGTGGAAGGTAGTCAGACCAATGGTTAATGGTGTGAGCTTCGGAATTAGGCTGCCTGAACTTGTTAATTCATTAATTTGTTCATTTGTTACTTTACGCATTTACTCATTAACTACATACCAAGGGCTTAGGATCTGACAAGCATTGTTGTAAGCGCTAGCAGCACCAGGGCCCAGCAGCTAACCATTGTTGTGATCCGGGAAGAGTTTTATCTACAACTTAACTGTTCTCACTTCACTGATAACGAATCTAATAGTATCTGTTGTGAAGGTTAAGATTATCCTGAAAGTGTCTGTACTGTTTAGTTCATATTAACTACTCAGTAAAGGTTTGTTTCTGTTGCAATCATTAGCTTTCTAGTTTTGTGCTTCTTAAACCCTATGTGCAGTCACATCACCTCAGGATCTTGATAACCTGCAGATCCGGATTCAGTAGGTCTGGTGTCACTGCTACCAGCTATAAAGGCCCTGGAGCCTGCATTTCTGAGAGGCACTTGGATGATGATGATACTTCTGCCTGAGAATTGCATTTTGAATGGCAAGGCTCTGGTCCATTGTACTTACTTGAGTCCAGCCAGATTTTTAGGTTTATAGCCTTTTTGCTAGTGGTAGTTATACTTTTGAGAGTAATTTAATGATAAATATTCATAGATTATGTCTGCAAAGGCTTTTTAGCAAAAGCCTGGGTTTTATACATGTTTGTTCCTACCTAACATGGTAAAGTTATATACTCTTTGAAGGGGAGTACCAATTTATGAGATGCTCCCAGTCCTACTGTCTTCTTGGAGCAGATTGATGATAGCTAGGACTGCCTGGGGGCCTGCTTGCCTTCCCCCACCTGGATAAATGATAAGAAAGGAATTTCTTCGAAGCACCTGCGCTTAGTATAATGGTGATATTTGATAGTACATGGTGATATTTGAATTATTCTTTCTTAGTCATAAACACCTGCTGGCTTGCGAGGAGACTGAAAATCCTTAGGATTTATAAGCATCTTAGAAATGATGTAATGCACCAGGGTTTTTTTACTGCAGAGAATGGTGATTGGTCATCTGAGAGAAAAGTGTTTGGCATTTCTATTTCTGAGCAGTTCCAGTTGTCTAGCAAGTAGAATGAACCTGTGTAGCAGATTTATTCCTCCGTAATGTTTTGAAACAGTACGTTTATTTTGAGGGTCTCGCTCTAATCACAGTTTTTTTGGGAGGGCAGTGAAACTACCCAACAAGACGAGGTAAAGTTAGAGTCTAATGCTGTAGCTGACAGGCACTCACTCCAGCTTCTCAAACTTTTTCTCTTTAAAGGAACTGGCTTACCGAAAGGAGATAGTGAGAGCTGATCTAATTAACAAAAAAGTTGGAATCAGGTATGCTTTGAAAACATTTTTTTTGCTGTTGGAGAGAATTCAAGAATGAAGTACCCATGGGCGCCTGGGTGGCTCAGTCATTAGGCGTCTGCCTTCGGCTCAGGGCATGATCCCAGGGTCCTGGGATTGAGCCCCGCATCGGGCTCCCTGCTCGGTGGGAAGCCTGCTTCTCCCTCTCCCACTCCCCCTGCTTGTGTTCTCTCTCTCACTGTGTCTCTCTCTGTCAAATAAATAAAATCTTAAAAAAAAAAAAAAAAAAGAATGAAGTACCCACAAGACTTTAATTTTTCCTGAAAGAATGCTTATGCTTAGAGAGGGTTTTGATATCTTTTCAGAGTAAGTAAGTGATCGTAAATCATCTGTTAGGATGTCTGGTGTCTCATGGAACTCAGAAAGGAAGGTGATATTTCAGATAGTAGAATATCTTAAAATATAAGCACGTTTTAAGTACTCCAGTGAAGTTTATGGATTGTACACTCCTGTTTCAGAGAAACTCCAGAAAATATTGCCAAGCTTCTAACCAGGATGTGTTTAAAGTCAGAAGTAATAGGTGATGGGAATCAGATTGAGATCGAAATCCCACCGACCAGAGCTGACATTATCCATGCATGTGATATTGTAGAAGATGCAGCTATTGCCTATGGATATAACAACATTCAGATGACTCTCCCGAAAACCTACACCATAGCTAATCAAGTAAGATTGCACCCTTAAATACTCCTTGTTGTTAGAAACTGATTATTGAATGCCAGGAAGGCATTCGAGAAAAACAGCACATAGGAATTAAGTAGTATTTGGACATGTTGTGCTATGAGAGGCGTTCGCTGTGGAGAGGATACAAAACAGATGCCCAGTGGATTAGAGTAAGTTCAAAACCTGTGATGACTAGTACTTGAAGAAAGACAGGTTTTGAGTTTGGAGCCCTTCTGAATCTTGAACTGGGAGATTCATTTTTTTCAACCTGGCCTGAAGGCAGAAGAAGTTCAGTGTGGGAGAGGTGAAGTGGGTTTGTTCATCTGTGTAGGAGTATTGGGGTAGTGAGGCAGTGGGGAGGGGGCAGGGAGTGAAGTGGTGGTACTGGCAGTATTAGGATGGAAGGGGGTTTGCCTTTTCATGACCTGTATAAAACTTTTGTTGTAGGAAATTTTACTGAGGTGGAATAAAGTTAAATATCTTTTTTTCAGTTTCCTCTTAATAAGCTCACAGAACTCCTAAGACATGACATGGCAGCCACTGGATTCACGGAAGTGCTTACCTTTGCTCTGGTATGTCTCCTGTGCTTTCTGTGCAGCTGATTGTTGACACTGAGTCTCTGAAGTTTTGTACTCTGATTCCTTACATGAATTTATAAAATCTAGGCTGCTAGAATTTCCAGGTTCTAGAAGAATAACTTTTTTTACTTGAGATTGTATAATTTCTAGTAAAACAACGTTTCTTTTTTGTCACAAAATCATGAAGGACAAAAGTCTTAAATGACAGATAACAATGTATTTTGTACTTTTTTGGAAGTATTGAGGGTTGAATTCACAACGAATTTCATAACCAAATTGATTAAGTTAGAATTTTTAGTCTTAATTTGGTTGTGTCTGTGCCCACTAGATGCCGCCCTAGTTAAGGATTTGTGGACTGTTCCACATTAAACTTCTTTGTCTTTGAACACGTTCACAACATTTGCTTTGAGTTGGAAAGCTGACATAAAAGGCCTGAATCAGGAAATGAATTTTATTACAAAATAGAAGGCAATGCCCTTCCCCCACCAGATTGAAAAGAATAAAACATCTATCCTGTTTATAGTTTCCTCTTCTCTTGCTGAGCATTTGTGTGATGCCTACAGTGTGTAGTTCTGGAGTCTTCAAGTAGATATCAGCTTAATGATGGAGGGCAAAAACCAAAACCAAACAAAAACAAACGACTTCATTTTCTCCCTCCAACTCAACTCCAGACAGACTTCTCCATCTTATATTTACAGAGAGCACAGTAGTGGGGGTTACATTACTACCAGGTTGTGGGGAGAGGGTGATCAGAAAGGAGATGCAGCCCCTCTCCCTTTATTGAGCATTTGTCATTCATAGGTTGCTAACCTGGGAAGCGACCTTACAGATTTTCTAGTTCAGCATTGTCACTGTTTTTGATTCAGGAGTCCTTTATTTCGCATTTACAGAACATCTGTTGTATGCCAGGCACTGTAAGAATGAAGAGGCCTGAGGTCAACAGGACAAGTACCTAACGAAGTGTATACAGACAGGAGAACCAGGACCAGAGTCCTAGCCTTTTGGCATTTAGAGCAGCGCTTTTCTGTTGTCTCGGCCTATGTATGCTCGGTTTGTAGTACAGGTCATTCATATATGCATACACTTATACAGTTGTGAACATTAACGAAATGCAAAAAGTAGCATTGAGAAACGTATTTCATTTTTAAAAATTAAGTGGCATAGGATTGATCTGAAACAATTCAATCTGTACAGAACCATGTAGAGTAAACCGTTCCCCTGTTTCCCTTCAGATTTCAACCCTATTTTCCTCCCCAGAATTAACCGAGGTTCAGACTTTGGCCTGTGAATTTCCCTGCCCTTTTATAGAAGTAGTGAGTTTTGATTTTGTAACAGTGTGTAGCCCCATGTGTCTCAGGGGAGCACATACTCTGCCCGACCAGGGCTGCTCTGCAGGAAGAGTTTATCCTGTGTCCAGGCCTTTCTGCCCATGATTCCCGCTCCGCGCAGTGCTCTGAAGTAGGTGTTCCAGTCTTATGCGGCAGTAACTTGTCCCATTCCATACAGCTGGTCGGCTTTGGGCCAGGGATTCCAGCCCAGGCCTGTGTGCACCCACGGCCTGTGACGGAACTGTCCACCAGGAGTGCCAGAAACAGTCTGTTTCAGCTGTCCCAAGTCACTTCAACACATTATCACTGGGGGGGGGGAAAGGAGTGAAGTGCCAGAGTTTCAAATATGTAATGACAAGTTTTCTAATAGGAATTTCAACATCAGAGGTTTTTATGTGACATAATTAGCAAACCTAAGTATCTCTGTGCCTTATATCTAGTTTTGCATGAGAGAAACAGAGCCTTTTCTAAAACCTAGCCCTTGATTTTCCAAATACAAGTAATTGTTATCTCATCATTATGATTTTTACTGTGTCTGCATACTAGTTGTATTAAGGTTAAAGTAGATAGTTTTAAAAGTGAGTTAATTTAAAATATTACAAGAATATTCATAAAAATCATGGGCTTCATTTACTTATTATATTTTTCTAACACTTTAAACACATCAACATTGAAAAAGATATTTAAAAAAATTTTAGCTACTGCCACTTCAGGTTGCCTTGATTTAAAACTGCTTCTGATTTCTGTCCCTTATCCTCCATTGTCATGATGAAGTACAAGACCACTTAGATACCTCCGCTGCCATGTGTTTGTGGAACAACCTTTCTTCTACACATACACACACACACACACACAGTACTAGTTCTGTTTGAGAGTTGATTGTGTTATTTAAATTGCATTTCCTAATTAATCACATTATATCTTGTTATAAAAACTTCTCATGCTGAGGAGAAATTCTGGTTATTTCCAGTGTGCCTGCCACCATTCTCTGCCTCTGTAGATCAGGGAGCTCTTTTGTACTCTGCTTGAATGTGGCTTCGGTATCCTTCCCAGGAGAGCATGGCAAGAATCATTAGAGCTGGCATTGACATAAAACCTAAACCCGTTTGTGTGTGTGTGTGTTCCTCTAAGAAATACAGACTAGTCCTTGAAGGCCACTTTGTAAAATAGTGTAGTAAGCAATGTCACCTAATGTTGGAAAATCGCTCAGTAACCTGATGGTCCATCAGTTTTCAGGTTAAGTTTTAAACTCCTTTGCAACAGTTAGCATTAATATATGTGATAAATTTTAGTACTTATTAATCATCATTGTTAATTTTTTTTGAGCACTTAGTTTGTGGCAGCTACTTTATTTGCATTATCTTGTTAACTCATTTATTAGATGTGGTGCATCTAATAGTTTTATTTTTATAACTTCTATCGGTCATCCTGGTTTTTTGAGTATGACAGGTATCTTCCTCTCTTTGGAGGGTGAGTGCTTAGAAGTTTATTGCTCAGAGCGTTATCAAAGCACCTATGCACAGAAGTTAAATGATCAAGTAGAAAGAACACTGGGCAGAATTCAGGCCACTTGAATTCTGCTCTTAAGTCTTACCATTCTACCACCAGTCAGTTTGGATTTAGCAGGGATTATAATGGTAATCAAAGCCATAGGAACACTTAAGGGGGGAGAGCAAATTTGACAGGAGTCATTAGGAATATTTTTATGGAAGCGGTAGAACTGCCATTTAAGTAGAGCCTTGGGGGATGGGAGCAGGTAGGGCCGGGAAGGCATTTCGTAAAAGTAAGGAAGAGTGTAAGGTTCAGGGAATGAACTAATTGTAAGAGACTAGACTGGTAAGGTAATGGGAGGCTAGCTTAGGAAGGGCCCAAATACAGTTATATCACCATCAGCATGTGAAAAACTTACTTTGCCTCTGTATCATAGGTAGAATTCCTTGTAAGAGAATTGTTAATGTTAAATCGTATCTGCTGTGGCCCTGAGTTAGTTGATATATGTATTATTTTTAACTTCTTTATATAGAGAATCTACATTGCTATGAGACCATAAGTTGACTTACAACATTAAATACTTTGTATATTAAGTTTAGTCATTGTTTTTCTTTCTTTATTTTGCATGTACTTCTTAGTGCTCCCAAGAAGATATTGCTGATAAACTTGGTTTGGACATCTCTGCAACAGAGGCTGTCCACATAAGTAATCCTAAAACAGCTGAATTTCAGGTGAGAATTTTAAGTAGGTAAGGATTTAGATAAATACTGAGAGGCAGTACATAAGTTATAACTGAAGATGACAAAATCTTAGCGCTTTTTAAAAAATCTCTTCTTGGATAAGATTATAGTTGGTTCTGGGATGCCTGGGTGGCTCAGTCGGTTAAGTGTTTGCCTTCGGCTCAGATCATGATCCAGGGGTCCTGGGATCCGAGTCCAGCATCAGGCTCCCTGATCAGCAGGGAGCCTGCTTCTCCCTCTGCCTGCTGCTCTCCCTGCTTGTACTCTCTCAAAAAACTTTAAAAAAACACCAAAAAAACAAAAAACTTAAAAAAAAAAAGATTATAGTTGGTTCTTACATAACTTTGTTGATGAATTTTTTTTTATTGGATATAAGATTCATTAGAGCGTACGGGGGGAGGGGCAGAAATTTTTTTAGAGAGCATGCGTGCACAAGCGAGAAAGAGCACGAATTGGGGCAGGGGCAGAGGGAGAGGGACAAGCAGAGTCCCTGCTGAACAGGGAGCCTGACTAGGGCTCGATCCCAGGACTCCGGGATCATGACCTGAGCTGAAACCAAGAGTCGGATGTTTAACTGACTGCACCACCCAGGCACCCCTTGTTGACGAATTCTTAACACTTTTTAGTCTTTTCTTGATTGGCCTACAGTTGTGTTTTGCTTGCTTTGCTTTCCCAGTCTTGTCTGAACTTTCCGTTTCATTCACTTCAAATCAGTTGACTTTAATACTATTTTCAGATTTCATCTTTTCTACCCATTTTATAATAAATGAGTCAGCAGCTGTTCCCAGTACCTCCATTAAGTCATTCACTCTGAAAGTAGTTGTTACATCAGTTCTTGACTATGCTGCCTTCATTTTTTTCATGGTAATCCTCTAGTTCAATGGTAGTTTCACATAAAGTTCAGGAATATTTCAGTGAGAATACTATCTTAGTAAATGTTATCTTCGTTTATTAATGACTTCAGACCATCTCCTCTCTTTCTTACTGGTCAGTTCTCATTCTGTTTTTCTTGCACATGCAATTCTTTATGATTTTCTTCAACCCTGGCTTAGAATCAACCCTGGAATCTTAGGATTGGGAGGAAATGCTTTCAAGAAAATTAATGCTATTATAATATGTGAACTCTGTGACTTGAGATTGTTTCTGTGAATCTTGATTTTCATTATCTGTAAAAGTATGGGAGGGAGTCTTAAATTCTAAAAATTTTTGGAATTCTAAAAATGTTAAAATTTGGATTTTTTTAAAGTTAGATTTAATTTGTACCAGTAATGTGGTAGATTAGGGCTAGACTGCTATTTAAAGAACTAACTGGTAATAATATTCATCAAGTACATAAATTGTTTCTCTGTATTCAGTGTCAGAACTTTGAAGAATTCTTATGCCAATTTGGAAGGATTGTGATAAGTTCCACTAGCTTTTCTACTGTTCTTAAAAGATGCCCATGGTGTTCTTTTCAATGAGAGACACACAAATTCATTTGGGTAGAGGGATTTTTCAGTAAATCTTACTGGACTTTTATTTGAGTTTATTCTAAATTTTCCTTTTTCTCCCAGTTTCATTTATGAAGCTTGATAGATTTCTTAAGATGTGGTAATGTTCTGTACGTTTTGCATCCTGTTTTCTCTATTTTATCTAAGTGGAAGGAAAATCAGAAACACATTAAATATCACTATATATAGCTGTGGTTTAGCATACTTTCAGAATCAGTATTTCTGCATGAAATACATTAGATGAGTCCATCTTTTAGACGGGACAGATTCTATATTTTACTCCTGCTTTACCAGTAGAAATGTCCTACCAACACTAACGTGGCTAACGGGTTTCTGTTTATTTATGGTTAAATGTAAAGTTTTTTATGGGCTTGTAACTCAGTTTATTGTTTAAGCCCATTCTTTTTCTTGGATAATTCTTAATTTGGGGGTATTTTCTAACTGTAGATGTGTTAGAGAATGGATAAAAGAAGAAAAATGTTAGTTAAAATGTGTAAATTTTATAATTATAAACAAAATAACAGAATATTACCACATTTCCCCAAATTAGCAATAGTATTCCTTAATATTTTTAAATGTCCAGTCATTGTTGAAATTTTCTCATTTGTCTTAATTTTTTTAATAGTTTGTATGAACTTCATGTCAAAGTTGATGTGCTTCTTAAGTCTCTTTTAATCTACAGATTGCCCCTCTGTCCATCTCTGTCTCTCTTCCTTCGCTTTTTTCATTGAAGAAACTGGGTCCTTTGTCCTATAGAGTTCTCACAGTTAGGATTTTGTTAAATACATTCCAGTGGTCCCCTATATTTCTGGTAAATTGGTAGGTAGATCTAGAAGCTTGATTTGGAGTCAGGTTTAATTTTTTGTATTGCTGTGAGTTTTTAAGCAAATAAGGCTGATCTATAAAATGGAAAAAAAAAAACCCGCTGGGAAAAGCTATTTACAAAGGTAGCTTGTTTATATTCTGGTAAGTTAAGCTTTCTTTTGACATTGTACTTTTATTTCTATGAATGGTTTGGGCACTTTCTCTCCAGTTGTGAAAGTGAGTGATATTTACAAAAGCACAGAGTTGAAGGCTACTAGCAGCAGGTGGCAGAGTGAACGTGACTGGAAAGGTTTTCTCTTCCCCTCAACACACATTCCTGTTAATGCCTGTAGGATCTTGGAGGGGCTGCCATTTTAGCCAGGATGGTCAGGGCAGGCCTCTGTGGGCCAGAACAGAGAGCTGAAGAAAGTAAGACAGCCACATGTGAATCCAGAGGAAGAATGTATGCAGTAGAGGAAAGGAGGTGGCTCGGAGGCCTGAGCCAGAATGCTGCTGGGGGGTGTCCTGAAACCCAGTAAGCCCAGGGAGCAGCAGGCATGGAGGTAGAGAGGAGGCCAGGGCCAGATTCAGACAGGACCCCATGCAAGGCATGGAGTTTATTCAAAATTTGATGGAAACCTGTTAGATTTTTGAGCAGGGGAGTTTCGTGATCTGATGTAGGCCTTAAATCATCACTCTGTGGAGAACAGGCCATAAGGCGGCAGGAGTGGAAGCAGAGAAACCAGCTTAAGTAGTCTGGGTCAAAGGTGGTGGTACTGGTATCTGCTGCGAGCTCAGGATCTTAATGATGATGCCCTACCACTGCTCATAAAACTCTTCTGGAAACATCCTGTGTTGAAACCTAACCTATCTCATATAGCTTGGAATGAGAGATTTGAGACAGACGTAGGGAAGTTGTTTTTTGTTGTTTTTATTTTTATTATTTATTTCTTTTCTTTTCTTTTTCTTTTAAAGATTTTATTTATTTATTTGACAGAGACACACAGCGAGAGAGGGAACACAAGCAGCGGGAGTGGGAGAGAGAGAAGCAGGCTCTCCGTTGAGCAGGGAGCCCAATGCGGGGTTCGATCCCAGGACCTTGAGATCATGACCCGAGCTGAAGGCAGACGCTTAATGACTGAGCCACCCAGGCACCCCCGTTGTTTGTTTTTAGAACTAGGATGTATGTTTGTATTTCTTTGGCCGCTAAGCTGAAAACTATAGTCACAGCTTTCCCATAGCAGCTTCATAATTTTTTTAGTGCATACATATTTGTGTTCTGTTTTCTCATTGTTGTGATATTTTAATTGCATTTACATTTTCCCTAGTCTTGGTTTTTAAGAATTTGATTAGTTCATATTTAATCTATTTAAATACTTGCATTTCTTGTAATCTCCTTCATTTACTTTATAAAATAAAACAGGATATTAAAATTTACATATTTGCAATCTTAGAAACTAATTTTAATTTTAAAAATAATAGAATAACTTATATTTGTTTCTCAATTTTTAATCAGATTTTATGATTTTTCACTTTCTAAGTTTGGGAGCCAGAATATTTTCAGTTTTTTGTTTTGGAATTGATGATTAAAGATGATGTGGACATTTACACATTACATTTTCCAGAAGAGTATTACTACTGTGAAGCTGTTGAGTTCTTTTGGCCTTGTCTTATAACCAAATCTGTTTGGGTTATTTGGTCAGTGCAGTTTCACATCTTCTCCTGTAGGTGGCACGCACTACCCTTCTTCCTGGCCTCCTAAAGACCATAGCTGCGAATCGGAAGATGCCCCTTCCTCTGAAACTCTTTGAAATCTCTGACATCGTAGTAAAAGATTCTAGCAGAGGTAAGAATGAGTCATCTTTGATTTGTACACTTATAGTATTTTATTATGAGAATCTCAGCTCTATATAAAAGTGGACAGTATGACCACCCCGTGAATCCAGCACCCACCTTCAGCAGTTTTCAGCACATGGAACTCCCCCATGTTAGTTTGATGTAATTCTGAGACATCCTGCCATTTCACCACCAAACACTTTAGTATGTATTTCTAAAAGATATATATGTATCTAAAAGATAAAAGATACCACTTTTGTTTTTTTAAAAATAACCCAGCACTATTTTATCATCAAACATCCAGCTAGTGTTTACATTTTCCTAATTGTTTTATAAATTTAGTTTTCATGATTGATTGATATGAATCCATTCAAGCATTATATTCAGATATTTGGTTGCTCTCTCTTATTTCTTTTAGTAGAAAGCAAATCTTAAAGAACTTAACATTTATGAAGATCCCTGTTAAAACCTCAGCTTGAAAAGTACTGTGGAACATTTTTTTTTATCTTGTGATATATGTGCATATCATTTTAAGGTGCTTTGATGTCTTGTCATTCTAGTTTAGCATTAGCTATTCATCACTCTTGTATTAGTCATTATAAATGTGTTTGACTAGTTTTTGCCTCGAGAATAGGCTGGACTTACTAGTATAGCAAGTTGCCCAGTCCACCATTTGGAACTCAGAGGTTATTTAATAAACATATATGTAGGTAGTACTTAAACCTGATTGCCAAGGATGTCTGTCTTATTCAAACGTCTGTCTTCAGCCTTAGACAACAAATCTGTTTGGAGCTGCATATGAGGTCACTTCTTGGTAGCAGGGCCATCAAATGACTGAATTACTGGTGGTATTTCTCTGGTTCCCTGAATTTGACAGTTCCAGTCCTAACGATGTTTATTTAGGAGTTTTACTCCAGACTGCGAAACTCAGAGTGTGTTCTTCTGAATCACTTGACAATAGCAAAGGCCTTTTCCTCAGTTACTCCTGAAGAGGATAATATGGCATTATTCTGACTATCCAGAGTAGTCAAGAACTATTGACTGTAAATCAACCTTAGGAAATAGATAATTATAGAGGCATGTCCACTTGACTGTATGTGTACCTTCCATAGCAAGCTTTGCAGCCAAAGCTGGATTCCATCTGCTCTCCACCGTGCAGCCTTGTGTTCAATTAACAGCATCAGCTTGCATTTGTATGGTACTTTATACTTTCGAAAATTTTTAAAAAATACACCTTTTCTATTGTGATTGTTAATCTATGACTTTGAGGCAGATGGGACCAAAAATATTGTCCCCACTTAATGTGTAGGAAAACTAAGACAGAAAAGTAGTAATTTGCCCAAGGCTGCAAAAATTTTGGACTTAGAACTAGGGCCAGAATTTGGTCTCTGTGCATATATCCTTAGAGAATAAAAGTTTATTTTAATATCAGTCTATTTAGAATTTTCTTTGGGTGGTCAATCTGTGGTAAGAATCAGAAAACATTTTCAGTGCCAGCTATAAGTAGTTCTGAGGGTTCTTGTGCCTCAAATCCTCCATTGGTACAGATACCTAGGAATTTGTTATGATTTTAATGTCAGATTTTTGCTGTTAACTTTGACTCCTTTCCTTTCATCTTAGCTCTTTGAATTGTAGGTTTTGATCCTTGGTGATCCAAACATATTTACAAATATAGAATTAGGTTAATTATACTAAGTTTCCTCAAAAGTTTTATATATTTGGGTGTTCCTAAGTTGGGGGCATAAGTATTTACAATTTTTAGATCTTCTTGTTGGATAGACACCTATATTATGATATAGCGCCCTTCTTCATCTCTTGTTTACACTCTTTGGTCTAAAATCTAGTTTGTTGTAAGTAAGTATGGCTACTCCGGCTTGCTTTTGTGATGTCCATTAGCATGTTAAATCGTTCGCCATCCCCTCACTTTGAATCTGCAGGTGTTTTTTTTAGGTATAAAATGAGTCTAAGTTTCCTCAAAAGTTTTATAATACTATTTCAGCAGTAGGCCTTCTCCCTAATGGTAAGGATTCCCTACAGGGCTCTGTAGGGCTGGGCATGCTTGCGAGCAAGCAGCTCAGAGTCTGGAGGGTGAGGAGCTGTGGGGTTCCCCACAAGTGCCACAGGAAATTTTCACTGTAAGCACGGAGCACTTGACTGTATTGCAGTCCTTGTTAGGGATATCGTCACTATTTTTTCTTTCATGTGTCTTTTGAAAAGGCCCAGACATAGACTCCACTCTGCCCCAAGGCCCATGCTTAGAGATAGCCTCGCCTGTTGAGAGCAAGCTATTGTGCAGTACTAGGCTGTAGGCCATAATAAGTCACCCTGGTGATAACCCCAGAAAGCCAGTCCTATACTTTTTAACTCAGATTTGGATTTCTGCTGCACTTTGTTTCATCAGAAAGAATAGTTTTCCTCTCTGTAGCAGACCTCTCTTATCTGGGTGTTTAGTTGTGATTATTTTGCTATCTTCCCTATGGGAACATTTTTATCTGATCCTACTTTTGTCTGTTGTCTTGCACTTATGGTTTATTTTCTTCAAAATTTTCTGTCCCATCAGTGGGATTTGAGGAATGAGAAGAGGTAAGTGTGCTCAATAAGTTTACCATCTTGAAAACCTAACTTTTCTTCAGAGTGGGGTTTTCTCTTTAGTTAGGCCTGGATTTTATGTCCTAACAAGTAGCTTTTCTGATGGATTATTCTCCATATGTTCAAGCGGACTCCCTACTTGGCATTCGGTATACATAGAGGATTCTGTAGGAAAGGCAGTGTAGCACCGTGGATTCAAGACTGTACAGCCAGAGTAGTTTTGAGTAATGGTTCTGCCACTTACGAGCTGCTGAACCTTGGACAATTTATGTAATCTCTCTGTGCCTGTTTTCTCATCTGTTGCAATGGGGATGACCATAGCACTTACCAGATTTTTGGTAAGGATTAAATGAAATTGCATTTTGAAAAGTTCGAGCCACATAATCACTGTTTGGTGTCTGCTCTTTACCGTTAGAGTATTAGTAGTCCCTAAGGCCAGATGTGTAGCATCCTGGTCTATGGTAATTTTCTGTGAGAATGACTTGGAAACTTTTGGCTATTAAATGGTTAATGTCACCTTGCTGACACTAAAGATGAGGTACTTGGGGCTCATTTTTATCCTAACTTGATTTAATTGGCTTTTTTTTTGGTTGTGCACTATCTCTATTTTTAGGGTATGAAAACCAAAAAGTACTGATGGGGAAATTTACTTAAAAACAGGAATGTGGTTTTTGTTGTTGTTTTATTTTGTTTTTCAGGAATGTTGTGTTTTCAGTAATTCATCACCCACTTTTCTTCAATGAATTGAGCACAAATTTTTTACTGCCTTTTAAGCCAGTAAGCATTTTTCTATTGGATTTATATTAGCCATTTCCTCCTAAATATTCAAACTGTTTTTGAAAAAGAAAAATCTAGACCATTAAAAGTGAAATGGTAGAGGAGTTTTCCAGTAATGTGTAACATCCTAGATTTTCATTAGTGGGGGCCATACCCAAAGTACTGGTTCAGAAGGGGCAGAGATGTGTGGCAAGAGTGAGCAGGCAAGTCTCAATCATTGCACTGGTAAAAAAGTCTTTTTGAGTTCCTTTCCTTTGCTAGGGTCTGCTTGGAATATGAGAGAGACAGTTTCCAGTCTTGAGGGAGACTGGTGAGCAGATTTTTATAGGTAATACTCCAAGGGAGCACGCAAGGGGCCCTGATAGCACAGAGAAGGAGTGACAGTTGCCACTGACTTGTTTTCTAACATTAAGGAAAACCCCGACTCAGCCTCCTGTCAGTTTTGTGTAGGCAAGCGTATCTTCCACAATGGAAAAGAAAAAGGAATCTATGCTGGATTTCAGTATGCCTCCTACAAATTTTGTTTGACTTACATTCCTGTAAGAGTAAATGAAAGCTTACCAGCCCCTGTTTTCATGCTTGACCTCATTGGACAGTTTCTTATGCTCTTGTGGACCTTTTGACTGGCTGTCCATGTTGTGAGACCGTCAGGCCCACTGCCTGTTTAGTGACTAAGTCAGACACCCTTCTCAGATAGTAAGACTTCCACTCAGAGTCCAACACATTCTGGTTCTTTAAGGCTGAGCCAATCACTGCATTTATTGAGCTGTAAGATCCAAAGTTGCTGCCGCATTGTTAAAAATTAGTCATGACTCCCAGCATCTAAGCTGATTTGTCCCTTCTGGGCAGAGTGGCATGTGTCTTTGGAACGAGAAGTTAAATGCAGACTCTGCTGTGGGGTACATTTTCAGCTTTATGGCGGAAGTCAGTAGAAGCGGCCCTGGAGCTATCAAATCAGGCTGCTGTGTGAGTTCTTGATTGGTTTCAGTTGTTCCTACTTTCGTTCAATGTCAAGAATAACTAAACTGTAAACAAAATAGTAAATTACTGTAGAGGAGCAAAGGACCTACTTGTAAATTGCTAATCTTTGTGCCCAGAAAAGCAACTATATTTTGCAAAGTCCAACATTCGGGCTTTTTATTAAAAGCACATTGAATTCTGCCATCACAGTTTATTCCATGGTGGTCCCTGAGGCTGCCAGCATGCCTAGAAGCTCACTGAGATGGCAGGAGAAAACACATCACCGGGTTGAGTCTAAGTTTAAAAGGAACCATAGCTTGAGAAAGATGACTTAGTTTGACTTTGTATAGGTACTTAGATTTAGTATAATGCAGTCATCCAGTTGTCAGTTTGACATATATCTGTAGAGAATCTTGAAAAATCAAATCATCATGCACTTTAGTTTGAACTAGGCACTTAGAGACTTTTGGGTTTTAATACTGTAGTAGATGGAGTAGGTTACAGGCCCTTGACCACTTGGAGGGCTCCAGCTACCTCACTTGCTGTAGCTCACTTCAAGCCTTCACTTCTTGCTCAGACCATTCCTACTTTCTCCAAAGCATTGCTACAGTCCTGGTACAAGCTGCATTTTCTCTTCCCCCCACCCCCAAATAGTTCTACTAGTTTCTAAAATTTCACGTACTT